TACTCGAGTTTGCTGCTGCTGTTGCTTATCCTCGTCGAGTTGCTGGGCTCAATGATGTTCTGGTAGTGCGGTCCTTCGATGGAAACATGTCCATCAGATTCAACAAAACCCTTGGTGAAGTTGGACGGCACGGCCCGGTTGACAACAGGCACGATGACTCTCTGTCCTGATCCAGCGTACTTCTCTTTGCCTTTGCACGGCGTTGTGACGTTGATATACACCTGCGTCGTGTTGGGAGCTGCCGGCGCATTCTCCCAGTCAATTGAGATGTAGACACGGCTGTCGGTACCATTGTTACCGCCAACCGTGCCGTTGTACTGGGAGAGCTTGACCCAGGGCTGCCAAGGACTGGCCGTCCAAGGGCAAGCTGTGTTGCCACGGGTAAACACCTCAAAGTAGCGCGAGATAGCCCCGTAGGGATCTAGCGGGGGCACGGCCAGATCGTTGGCAGAGTTGGTGTGCCACTTGTCGTCACCCTGAACGCTGGCGTTGGATCCCTCGACGCCGACACCGATCTGGCCACCCAGAGATGGGAAGGCTGTCTGGACATAGCGCATATCTGGAAGGGTGTTGCGCATGGGCTGCTGCCAGTAACCATCATATCCAAGGTGGGTTTCTGTTGCGCGTCATGTCAGTACTATTCAGAAAGAGAGGCTCTTGAACTTACGATCAAGCATATGCTGCCACTTTCCGTCGAGCAGCTCGTCCCATCGAATGGTTAACTCGGCATCCGCATCAAGTAGAGTTCTTGACTCGTCGATGATATCATTTGCCAAGTTGCGCTTCTGTCCTGCAAATAGCTGGTTCTTCGCACCGTTGATCTGAATTTTGTGGAGGATCTCACCAGCCGAGATGGGATGCAAGATCATCTCGAAGAAGGACGCCTGATATTCCTCAGAGAGGGCATCATACACAGCTTGAGCTTCCTCTCGGAGAGTAGCCCACTGCCCCAAGACCGCATCTGCTTCGTTGTAGTTGATGACTGAATATGTGTTTGGCTCGACCAATTCGTACTTTCTGCGAGCAGCGTACATGCCATACCGCGTCAAAATGTCCGTGATATTGCCTGCGTGGTCGCCTCCAAATTCTCTGGTAGCCCAAGCTTCGAGCCACTTCCCTGTGCCGTCAACGCCCCATTTCTCCGTGTCGTAGGCGAGGTCGAAGAAGTGGCTGGTGGGAATCTCGAGCGGCTTCAAGTCACCGACGTTGACAATCCAGATCCTGCGTGCATTACGAGCATACGCCAAGGACATCTGCTCCGCCGTCTTCTCCAGCTGAATCGTGTTGATCCACTTGTAGTCGCGCGGGTCACCGACATAGTCAAAGTGGTAGTAGACGCCAGCACCGCCGCTCCGGTCAGTCTCGTTCACCAGTGGCAGCCTTCGAACATTTCCCCAGTTGTCGTCAGCCCACAGGAGTGTAATGTCCTCGGGTACGACGAGGCCCTTTTCCTGGTACGACTGAACTTCCTTGTAAAGGCACCACAACGAGGGAACCTCCGAGGCACTGTCGATTTCAAGTCCTCCTTCAATAATGGCTCGCTGATTGGCCACGAGCTGTTCCAACATCTTGACGATGCCTTCCACCCCCAAGTTGCCCTCGATAGCAGTGTCACCCGTGCCGCGCATGGCCATGGTCCACAAGCTGTTGCGAGCGTAAGGCTTGGCTCGCTGCACGCCGTAGCGGAAGTAGTCGTCAATGGTCTTGTTGTTGAGGTTGTAGGCCCATTGGCCCTGGTAGAACGTTCTAAACTCGTTTTGAGCGCGCATCAGAGGCTCTGTGTGAGAGCCACCGAGAACGACTTCGTATGCGTCGAGGAGAGGTTGGTTCAGCGGATCGTCGACGTAGACCATGCTTCCCCAAAGCGTAGGCCAGAGGTAGTTGGCGCGTAGACGCAGGAGAAGCTCGCTGACGAGACTGTAGAAGTGGTAGTTGTATCCGGCCGCATCGTTCCATGTGTCGTTCCATTTGGTTCTTTCGGCATGTCAGCCTTGTCCCTCCCAAAAGAATGAGACTGACTTACGAAACCCAGCTGGAAAGACCTGGCTGCTCATCGTTGATGAAGAAACCACGGTACTTGACCGCAGGAGATCCTTGGACCTTACGTTCGGGCAGAACATAGATCTCAGTCGCTTTCTTGGACGGCACATCGGCCCAGAAGTACCATGGGCTGACTCCAATCTGCTCGCTCACGTCGTAGATGCCGTAGATGGTGCCTCGGGGGTCACTACCGGCAATGACAAGAGCCCGGGAGCATCCCGGAATGGGCTCGTCGATCAGTTGGCTGACGAATGACTCCCACTGTCCTTCGACCTCACTCGTATTGAGTTTCTGGGCCTTGACGAGGCTGTCAATGACCTTTGAATGGCCAATGGTGCCGACGATGACAACGGTGTGATCAGGGGCGGGGTTAGTGTAGTTGGGACCGGAAAATGACTGTTCGTCTAGAACTCGGTACTGTGGAAAATACTTAGTGATCATCCTCTCCTCAAGAAGAACGCTTTCCAGAGCCACCCAGACCACTTGGACTGCGGCACAGGAAGGAGACTCACAACGGTGTTATTGGTGACATCCACGGGCGCGAAGGTGTAAAGAGCAGGCTTGGAGCTGTTTCCGCCATTGCTGAGCGTGTAATTTGTGCCGGTGACCCGACCGAAATCCAAGGCTAGGTCGCCTGCTGCCCGAATGACGCCCCAGTAATCATCGTCTGATACCAGAATTTGGCCTGTCCCTACATCTCCTCCGGCAATCTGGAAGCTGCCTGAAGCACTCTCGAACGAGACGATTGGTTGCTGTCCCAATGCCAAAATCAAAGGTGCCAGGCTCGATAGAACCACAAGGGAGATTGACCTGAGGTTGACGAACGCCATGACTGCGGGCTTGTGAAGCTCACGCTTGTACAAGTCTCCACTCGCACAAAGACAATGTCACGGACAGACAGAAGCCAGCATCATTTAGGAGGAAGGGCTGTCACTTTTATTAAGTACACAAACGAGCGTCCAATATAGCGCACAAGTGCTTCAGTCCTCGGATCAGGAACGGTTGGAGACCCTAGACCAGGATGACGCTTCCGTGGGGAAATCAGATTGAACAGGCATGGCAAGGTGGGATCGACTGATGGTACGGGGCATGAACGAACGGCAACACAAGCTAGACAATATGGAGAACCACCAATAATGGCACGAGAACCGCCTTCATGGACGGCCGGGGACGGATGACACCAGCCAAGATGGGATGACGGTGCCTGACCGACGGGTAAAAGGGACCACTTCCTGGGCCACCATCACAAGGCCGGGGCAAGGGCCGGCGAAGTTATCAGGCATGCTGAGAAGAGAAGAGATGGTCGTCCTCGAGATGGGCGAGGGAGACCCCAGCCACCAAAATGCTTGAGTCGAGCTTTCCCCGCAGCACAGCGCGGCCGGGTCCTCGAAGCGAGCGGCTTCCAAGACTCTTTTACCCCACGCCCGGCTTTGTTCGGCCACAACTTGCTCAAGAGTCGGTGCCGAGTTACGGCAGTGAGCTTCTCTCGAGTCCTTTGATAGACCCATCGCTTTTGCTTCTTCTCCAAGCAAGTGATTACTCGCCAGTTTGACCAGATTTAGTCAACTTACAGCATTCAACAGGCCAGACTCCAGAGATATTGAACCAAACAAAGACAAAAGAGAAGAGATGCCTACCCCAAAAAGCAATCAGCTAGGCAATTTGGAGATTTCTTGATTCGCGCGTGATCTCACGGCAAAAGTCACTGCGGGGAACAACTAGTTGTGACATTGGAAGTGGAGAGTTGCATTTAGCCGCAAAGTGAACATCATCCCGGCCGCCGCCAAAAAAACTCGCCTTGTTAGCAACTTTGCTCATCTCATTACCCGGTCACTCTAGTCTTGTAAAACAAAGTGGCAAGGAAGCCATCACCACGAGTAGCCCGACCGCTTGGGTTCTTGATGTGAATTGGAGAACTTCGGCACGTCTTGCCGTCCCCACACAGACGACTGTTCGTGTTTAAGAAGTACTGCGTACACGCATGTACTTGATCAAACGCGTCACCACTCACGCAATCCCGGCTATCTCATATCCAGTGGGAAGAGGAGCGTGGAAGCACCAATAGCACACTTTTGATTCTGTTCAGCAAATACCTAATCTGCCTGGTTCACGCCAGATCGATAATGGACCTTGAAAATGTACGCAGAAGACGAACCTCGAGAGAAGGAAACCTCGTCGATCTTTCTGGGTTCCGCCTCAATCCAAATACGATGTGTGATGACAGTCCCGTACTGAATAATGGTCGCAGACTTGGGCATCAAATTCGACTTGTACAGGCCTGACTGATCTGTAAATCGACACATCATGTAGTCGCGAATCTCCGACAGTCTCTCTTCGGCCTTAACCCCGGGAATCACTTGTGCGTATCTCATCAGTAACTCCGACTCGGTCCCCTCGACCGACAGCTCGTCAAAAAGTGCTGCCCACGGTCGACAACGCGAGCCATCCCACTGAAGGCCACAGATGATGCCCAGGGTAACTTTCTGTAATGGAAATCCGAATTGGATCTTGAAACAATGCGTCCCAGCGAAATTGTCGAGCCCGTGGCAGTCAAAGACAAAGTCTGCGACGGAGGATCGCACGCATGCCTCCACAGGATTCGCAGTCTTGGAAATAATCAAGTTTTTGAGCTGCGAGTCGTACTCGAATCCGATCTTGGCTCCCATGAAAGACGCCAGCCGCGTCGTTTCGTGATCATATAGCGTCTTGCGGATGCAGGCATCAAATGTGTCCAGCGTGGCATTGGACCATTGCAATCTCGAGTTGTATGCATACACCTGATCTGGAACCGCTCTAACAAACGTCGTTCCGACCTTGAGTAGCCAGATTGCAAGCCATTTAGGAGTCCCTTGTGTTCTGACACTGGTTTCGAGACAATCAAGACTCAACGCGTAGAACGCGTCAGCACCGCTCGCCGCTTCCGCAGCGTCATTCGCCGGCAGCCTGAGCTTTTGAGCCTTGACTTGAAGACCGTTATTGGTGAGGGTAAAGTCATTTCTGAACTGGAATCGATCTCGGTGTCTCATGAGGGTAGAACAGTATGTGAAGTCTGCTGGAGACTCTGCGAACACACCACTGAGCCCTGGAGCCGCAGCCGCTTGGTAGTCGACCTTTTTTTGCCACGCAAAAAGGCTCAAGTCGTTGGTCTCATTGGCGATGTGTTCTTGAAGTCTTTGAAATGCTTTTGATCCCTCGCCATATAGCAATGGCATATTGATGTCAAATATACCAAGGAGGCAATAAGCAATGTCTTCAACTCTTGTGGTTTTACGACCGGCGGCCCAGGACATGCGACGTGCTACCGGGAGCGTTTGTAGGTCTGAATTGTCTTGTAAAATGCTCACGTCAACTCGTGTGATCTCCTGGATGATGGTTATGAGGTCGCTTTTCTCGCCTACGAGGTTCCATTTCTTGTCGTAGAACTCGATTTGCTTTGAGGCTATCAGTTCTTGGAGAGTCCAGCCCCGAGAAAACCAGCGGCACTTGGGTAATTTGTCTCTGAGATAATCGTAGCGATATGTGCCCCTAAGCCCTTCAGGTATTGGACTTAGGTCTGCTAGGTAGACGTAACATATTTCGGCCGATTGATACCAGGAGTACATGGAGTTGATGGCCTCTGTCAACTCGGCGCTACTACTTTTGTCAATACAGCAAGTGTCAACCCATGCGTACTTGAACTTGGAGCGAGCAAGCTTGCAGGTCATCCTGATTTTGTTCCATCCTGATCTTGTCTTTGCACTGTTCAGATTCGACATGTGGTGGAACTCGACCTCTTGGTTGCCCCAGGTGTGGGAGAGAATGGCGTAGGAGCGTGTGCCATTCTGTCGATGATCCGCGACGCGATGCAATGTCGTTTTCTGTGTGTCGATCAGCCACATGACCAAGGCTGTGCACCAAAAGTCCAGAGCAGTACGAGAGGAATGCCACAATACTAGGAAGTATGTTGAGCGTTCTGAGAAAGATAAATTATGCGTCGTTTATGTGATCTTGTCAAGCAAGGTAAGCAAGGCTGGCAACTAAGTCCAGATACGGACGTGTGACCACCTATCAGACTGCAGCCCCTCATCTCATGCATGAGAATGCATGACTTAACACCAATGCAGATGCCAGTTTACAGCTCAGAGGTTATCTCAGCTTCTTCGTCCTCAGCACCAGAAACAACATTTCGGGTCACTATGAAACGACGATCGTTGAAACGCAGGACCTGTCAACCTGTTCAGCGTCACGGTCTGCGATGAGTACAGTGACGGAATCTTTTAGTGCATTCCTTACAATTTTTATGTACATCCCAAAACCAGCTACGCCGTTGAAACTCCGCTCAGGAGGGTTGCCGTTGTCGTCCCGAATTTCGAAAATCGTGTCATTCGATGGAAGCCTGCCGCAGTGACACTTGCCATGATTGGGATGCATCCGTGTCGCAACGTCCCCGTTCGCCGCCATCCAATTAGTCCAATGCCAGTCATTACTTGATTGACTACGATGCTGGGGGCACGTAGGCGTATCTCGGTATTTGCGCCATGCGCTCCTCAGGGCTGACCTCCGTGTCTGCATAGAACATTCTACCGTTCTTATCCTTCTTCGACTTCTTGTCGCCTGAGGCCTCGTCGCCGGCTTCGTCTTCGGGCTTCTTGGCCGGCTTAATACCGGACTCGGCTCTGCGAATGAGCTCGTCGATTTCGTCTCCGTGCTGTGCCGCTCCAGAAACAAGCTCATCGACAGTGGATGCTCCTGGGAAGCCAGGCGGCGGTGCGCCAGAGCCATTCCAGAACTGGCCGCCATGTTGAGGCGGTCGTTGAGGTAGGCCGGGCATTGCTTGGAGGCCACTCGTCGGTCTCGCGGGGAGAGATGATGCAGAGAAACCGCCAAAGTTGCCTTGCGAATAGCCCTGTTGAGGGTAAGCCGGAGCGCCAGGGGCAGCACCAGGCGGGTAGTTCTGTTCTGGAGTAGCACCGTAAGGCGCTTGAGGCGGCGGGTACGGAGAGTTGTTCTGTGACGGATGGTTAGCCCAAAGCCACACGTGTATAACATTTTCGGTGTAAGGGTACTTACAAATGCACCCGGGCTTGCGCTCGCAGGGGCGCCATTGGCAGGACTGCCACTAGTAGCGGGAGGATGGCCGGCGGCCAGTCGTGCGCGATGCTCGGCAAGGCGGGCCTTCAACTCTTCGGGAGTCTCAACTTTGAGTTTCTTCCTCGGCTGTTTCGACTGACCAGGTAGAGGATTGCCGGTGGCGATCCTGCGATCCTCTTGGGCCTGGTAGAAGTTCTGGATAATGCGGTTCCTGTGTTGGTCCAAAATATCCTGGGGAATACCCTCCATACCGAAGATCTCCACATCGAGGCCTTGTCGGTTCGGTAGCGCATTCTCGACTTGGGTGAGGGTTTCCTTGTGGACCTGATTCAAATGGACGGAGAGACCTGCGCGACACGAGACGTGAGCTTGCGATGCCACAGAGGACGGCGTACGGTGGTGAACTGACCTCCAGCGGTATTGAGTCGGCGACCGCATCTGTCGCACTTGAAGTGCTTGGCTTTCTGATGGGAGATGAGAAGCTTCAGATCTTCAAAGTCACGCTCGCCTATAAACAAGTCAGCACACGCGCTCAAATCCGAGACGCGAAAGGCAATGGATGCATACAGTAATAGCACCATGGCCGGGAGAGGACGTCCTCGACGTCGGGGTGTCCGCGCTTCTTCTTGCCCATCGCGACGGTTATGAACTCAGCTTTCTTCGGAGGCAATGAATGCTGGCGTAATCGCGATCTCGAGGTAGTTGTCCGGAGAGGATAGAGTGAGGTGGGATGCGGCGGAGAAGGGTGACGTTCGCAGAGAGGTACCGTGGCAGGCCAGCGAAGGGATTTGACGCGAGCTTGCTCGACCAGCAATTCATTGCACCTGCGCCGAGTTGAGAGCAATTGGGCGCTAACCCGGATAGAGACTAGCCTATCAACTGGTCTCTCATTGGCTCCATCGAGTGAAGACTCCACACAGTCCAGATAGCCTGATCGAAGATAGACACTGTATGCTCACACAGTACCTCTCGGCCCCGGCTTGGCCCAAACGGCGGCCGAATCGACGATCCTCGCATCAATCAGCTCAGTCATCTCACAACGACAAGTCATGAACTCACCATGCTCATCGACCCAAGCGACCTTCCAGTACGGCATATGAGACCCTGAGCACCAGTGATTGCAAGTCATACGGTCTCTACCTTGAGCTTGATTTGAGTTTGGATTGAAATACCATCAACTGAAAACATCGTGTTCTTGTATCGAACCTCGAACTGCCCACTTCCGGAATTCCTACCACCTTAGGAAGAAATAAAGGATTCGATGCAGCTTCCTAACAATATCACGATAGATCTGACAAACCCTCCACGATACGATGTCGCGGCGCATGCCAGATGAGCTCTGGGTGTATATCCTATCACACCTGCCAACCTTCAAATGTCTTAGAGATGCAGCCCTCACTTCTCCAACTTGGCTCAGATGCGCCTCGTCAGCATGTCGACAGGTGCTCCTGAACGAGATCGGCCCTCTCTCACTTTCTTATGCTGTCATGGCCCTGGAGTCCTCCAAATTCGACTCGAAAGACCTGAATCTCGTCGTCGCCTTTAGTGACGAATATCTCAAGAGACGGCCGCGTGTTCCTCCCACCGTCAGCTTATCAGATGGCTTCCAATTAGCAGAACTACACCAGTGCGTCAGCCATCTGGGATCCAAGTTCCGGGACATGGCACTGCATCGTCTCATGAAAGAGCAGTGTAGTCTCGCCAACGACCGTCCTGACTGGCCTGACGCACCTTCTTCGGCTGAGAAGCCAACAGATGCCGAGTCTGCTCGTTTCCACAGAGCCCTCTATCGATTCGAGGTCTACTGCAAGCTCTTCAAAGATCCCGAAGTTGTACGTTTCAACCTGGACATCGTGAACTTCCAGAGAGCGCACTTTTTTGATTACCTGTCACTTTGGGAGATTGAGCAATTGGTTGCGACAAGGGACTTTCTTGCAGCGGTCGTCATTGGTCCTCGTAAGTTATCCAGGCATCCCTCGGCCCTAAATCATATTGACGGTTCTCTGTAGCATTGCGTGCGCTCGTGGAGCTTCGTAAGATCGAAGCTCTGCAAACACATCATTGCGGCCCTAGAAATGGGGCTCAAGTTGTGTATTGGACCGCCCCAGTCTTACCTCCCAATTTGGAGCGCGGCGATTGCCACATCAACCAGAACCAGGCTCGACTGCTATGCTTTGGAATCAAGTTTCTCTACGAGGTGTCAACATCACCGCCAACTCAGTTCTACCGGTTACTTCTCGACCTCCCGCAACAGCCACGGTACGCCAGTTACAACCGGGTCGGCGAGATTTACTCATGGTTCACGGATGCTGTTGACAGATGCGTCGAAATGAACAACTTGGAACTCCCTACTAGGAAAGCTCTGTCATCCTACACTCCGGAGGAGTACAAAGAGCATGTCCGGCAGTCCTTGATAAGCGAGGACGCCGATAAGGGCCCGGAAGAAGCCTGGTATTGGGCATATCAATCTTTTCCAGGGTCAACCTGCAATGATCCTCGGATGACGAACTGTCGTCTCTTTGGCTTATTCTTTTGGGACTCTGCTCGGCTCAACACCATCAACTTCTTCACCCGTGTCGACGTTTGGTGGTGGAGGTGGGAAGGGGCCCGGCAGCCAGACTTCGACTGGGAAATCGAAGCGACGGTTCCCCCGGCATCCGTCTGGTGACAGCAGTCTCGTGTATGCTTCCAACGACCATCAACACCCTCGAGCTGCAAGGGGGGTGCGCATTAGGTCAGCGCAGGGTCACATGACTGGTGTGCCACACTCAGTCTAGCCAGGCCTGACCTCTCGCAAGAAACAGGCCGCTCGAGATACTATACACGGCGGGCATTACACTCTTGCGCCTGACAAAAGGAACGTCTGAGTATCTGATCCACAAGCTTGCAAGTGTGGATGCGCTCAAAATGGGAAATCGACACAAAGGCTATGGCTATCAGAAGCCAAGGAATCTGGGTCAACGACCAAGAAAAGAAAGGCAGGAAGGAGAAGACGACTTGATCTTGAATGATTCAAAGGCTCCGGACGACGGGCAGAAACATCGACTTCGAATTTTTGGTGGAGTGAAACAACGAGAGACTCTGGAAAGGCAAAGAAGGAAGAAGGAAATCGAGACATGCGTCCAGCATCGCCTACCATCGTCTAGAAGGCTCAACGACATCCAGCAACCTCACGCCGGCTTCATGAGACTTTGCGAGCCATTGCACGACTTGATGAGATCAACGACGAGGAATATGGGAGAAACAATCCAACTTGGATGTAAGAAGGAAGAGGATCGGTCTAGTGCAGGCCCGGGTTCCGTGTCGGGGTCGGTGGCACGCAACGGGGGAAGTGGAATACTGTCCCCTGATTGGCCACTTGGAGGAGAGAGAGCAGCCCGGGGGAGCACTCACCATATAAAGCCCTCGGGCTTCCCACCACCCTCCATCTCACATCCCATCCTCCTCCCTTCTTCTTTATTTCGTGTTATCAGAGAAACTTCTCCAACGGCCCAAAACTCCCTTTTGACTTTCGCTTTCCATCCTGGACAGGTCCCTATATCTCAGCAGAGCCCATCTCGGACCTCTCAAACTTCCCTTGGCACACACTTCCTCTGCACCGCGAAGGAGATATTACATACAGGCTGCCATCCTCCATCACATTACCCCATCAACTGAAACACTCCATCACCCCAAAACTTCCTCAACCATCGCCAGCTCCATCAAAAGCATCTCCAATCCTGCTTACAAGGCATCATCAACATAGCACCATGGCTTTCTTGCCTCTCGACTTTGATACTCACCCAGACTTCACCACTGTGCCACGATCCAGGTCTCTAATGACCCCAGGACGTCAGATATACTCAGCAATGGTGCCATCGCAGGAAAGCACTTCCCCTCACGGTCACAGACACAGACATGCCCTTGCCGGGCCACGTGATCGACGCTCGCCAGCGTCCCCGACACAAACGTCGATGCGAGTATATTACCCTGCCGACTATAGAGAAAGCGTCGCGTCCAATCCCATGAGTGATGAGCAATTGTACAGCCTGCCACCATCTCCGCGCTCGAGGCCCCAGCCTTTGTCATACCGACGAAGCCCTGGACCCGTATCGCAGAGACGGATATGCAACGCGGATCACGACAGCCTTATTGCAATGGGATCATGGACTAGCCAAAGCACCCACAACGAAGAACCGTGTACAAGATCCGGGCGTGAGAAAGGCAGCAGCACTTTCCACAATGGCGACCTTCTAGCCAAGGATGCGTCATATGATGACTTTATTCTCTTTCCCGATGATGCTAGAGAATGCATTCACGGGGACTTTACAGCCCCCGCTCAACCCTCGTCAGCTCCCAGGGCTCCCCGCATCACGAGGCTTCGCACACTAGACCTGGCGCCGCTGTCGACAGATGTCCAGTTTTTCCCCTGCCTCGGCGGTGAATCTGAGCGAGACAGGATCAACGAGGCCTGGTACATTGCCGGTCGGGAGAGAGTGGAGTCTCAACGTCAGTGCTCTTTTCACAAGCACGCGATGACACATTGTGATGTGCTATTTCGTGAAGCTCAATTGCTGACTTTGACGCAGTGGATGATGCCTTGGCTTACATGGCGGCTGTAGAGGGATGCAGTCGCACGCGGAGAGGGTGAGAGCCACCCAGGAGGGATCCTTGGATAATTTCGTGATGAAATCAAACGCAGTTTGTCATCTTTTGATTAAGATTGGTCGAGACGGCCGATCCATGTATGGCTGTTTCCGAAATTGATGTCCTGGTGTATGGCGTTGGGGCAAGGCGTTCGTCCAGATCGAATGGACAGGTTGACAGGCAACCCATAATCTGTGATGTTTTATACAATCAAAAGGGAACTCTTGATGAATCTGACTCTTGTCTTCTTGAACTGAGGTATTTGTGTTTGAAGTGGTTGAAGCCATCGTCAATCAAGATGGAGAGAATCCTGGTGTTACATGACAACGACAGGGAGGCCGCCGGATCTCAGCAGATAAAGTAAGGCAAGGCAAGGCCAGGAAGGTGTAAGTGAGATTCAAAATGGAATGCACGTATCGTGCCTGTAGGTTTTGACCACGAACGAGAACGGGAATGGAATTGGGAGCAAAAGTGAAGATGAAAACCTCGCAGAACCGCTTACACGGGCTGAACCCGAAGAACGACGAGTTCGGGGGACGATGAGAGGACGAAGGGACGTGAAAGTTGGGGGGAGGGAGTGACGTTGAGTGAGAGCGGCCGGGGGCCCTTGCAGCTGCCTTACGTAAGACACCTGCTGACTAACAAGGGTTTCCCCTCACCGAAGGCACCCGTGCTCACCGAGTTGCCTTCACCTTGCTGGTGCGGACCTCGCGAGCGGGACGATGCCTCATGACAATTGACCTGCTGGGTATACTGGAATCCAAGAGATCAAGATAGAAGAAAGTGTTTTCCAGTGGAATAGATACCCAGAATCTAATGATGAGAGAGATATTCACAAAAAAGATTAACATTGAGCGAATGGAGATTTATTTGGACATTTAGATACACTTCATCATTTGAATTTATCACACCTCTTGTTCACATTGGCCGCCGCTTTTTGCGATGCGGTCATGAAAGATCGTTGTCATCTTGACGATTGAGTTCGCAATTGAGCAATGCTCCGGGAGGTTCATGACCTGGTCCATAGTGCACTAGATTGGACTGATTGTTTCTATTCGAATTTCCAAATTCATTAGGGGTATATCATCTTTAATAACTCGACTGCTCGGCCCACGCAAAATATCTTCTTCCCAGTCAGAGCCCTTTGCCACGTAGCTGTTTAGCTCCGTCGGGCTTTGTCAGGGAAGAAAGTGATTCTCGACATGTAACGAGGACCAGGAGGATTCCTCACCACGAGATTTGCTCGGACTCCAACGTTGGGCTCTACCCGGGACCGCAAGGCCAGAGCAGTAGGGGCCGGCAAGCCCCAGACCGAGTACCCTCTGTTCATGCTATCCTTGACACAGTCCCGCAGTACGCTGGTGAAGTTTCCAGCTGACGGATGGCGCACAATCCCCATTTCGTTGAAGAAGTGGGGGAAATTGTCAATATCATGAAGGCGGCGGACTTCGGTGGAGAGCTGAAGAGCGGCACCGGGAGGAGGTGCGCCATGACGGTCGAAGAGCTCGTCCCGGATTTGCTCCAAGGTCTTGTCGTTGGATGGTCTGGCGATGCGGCGGAAGAGCTCCGAAAACATGAGGAGTCGATATGAGGTGCGATTTGCTTCAAAGGTTCTCTTTAGACGATACCCCGAGACGTGATCAGGCTCGAGATAGCTCAACTCCGGCATATTGGAGCCCCTCCTGTCGAGCATCCATACGACGTTGCGCGTGATGGCCTCGGTGATGATCGCTTTTCTCATGGCCTCCGTCGTATCAATGTCGCTGATGAGGAGGTAGACCAGTAGGTGGCCAAGATTCGGACAAGACATCTTGGAGGTCTTACCACTCATAAATCTCTTGATCTTGTTATTGGCGTCGGTGACCAGTTGGGAATTCGCCGTCGCCAAACAGAGGAGAAGGTGGAATAGGTGGAAGTAAGACTCGATCGCCTTCTCCGATGCGTGCCGCAATGTACTCATCCGTGGAATCCTGACATTATCGGTGCCGCTGTATGCGGTGCCACCAGAGGCTGTGTGTGCATCTACTTGGTTCAGCCGCACAACAATGTCGTTCATGAAGGCGGCGAGAACACCCACTGTCGAGCTATTGGAGCTCGGTAATGAGATAGCCACGGCTAGACTATGCATCACGGGCGCTACATAATCTTTGACGGAGGACCAGTGACGACGGCTGAGAGGCAGCGGAAGCCAGTGTTCGAAAGCGACATTGTGGACAGAGAAGCGAACTCCCAGGTCCTGAAAAGCTGGTAGAGAGATCAGGTCGAACTCTGACTCGATAGCCCGCTTGCGTTTGGGGACCATGACGCCTACGCCGAGTTTTGTATCTCGAAAGTTGGTTTTGGTGATATAGCATTGGAGTTCTCTCAACCGGATAATATCGTATCCGCGGAGCATGTCTGCGATTCGCGGCCAAGCCCGTGAAAAGGAGAGGAGGTCCGCAAAGTCCAGACTGTGGAGAGTTTGTAGCAGAAGCTCGTCAGGCAAAGCGGCCAAGACACATCCCTGGTAGTTCTTGGAAGCAGCCGCTATCGTTGCAGCATTTGACGAGGATGAAGATGGCGTCGGCGACAAGGCTTTCAGGGCGTGCCTTCGAGCTCTTCTAAGGTCTGACTTGCTCCTGGTTCCATCAAAGTTGCAGTGAGGACATTTGAAATCCTGCCGACATTCGAGGCTCTCTTGCCGATACCACTCGAGAGGCTCGGTGTAATTGCCGCCCTCTTGCTCCAATGAATCGCTGCTGAAGAAGCTCAGCATTTGGATGGCGATGCCTCTGAGGGTATACGCCGGCGTGTATCCCTCGAACGTGTTGAGAATTGATGCGCAGATGTAGGTATCATATACGTTGGGATGTACCATTCGCGTGTTCATCTTGATGGTGGGAGCGACGAGAGGATAGCGGTCTCCGAAGTTGACGGTGGTGTGCATGGGCATCCAGCCCTCTGGCTGTAGGACAAGGCATGCCCGGCGAATATCGTTGTCTCTGGTGTGTAATGCAACGCGAGGGTATGGGTTTCGCTGTAATTCAGCAAAGTCCTGAAGCAGTCGGCGCTGGAGGTGTACGGCCATGGTAGTGGGTGGTTGTTGATGGTCTCTTTAGTTGATGATGGTAGCAGACTGATGTTCCAACGGGAGGATGGAGCTGTAGAACTATTCGCGTCGTTATGTATGCGCGTAAAGAATGAGGCCGCCTCTTCATTAGGGCGATTCTTTCGAAAAATAATTCGGGCTGAGTCAATCGGCGGATGTTGTAGCTGTACCATGCTGGAGTTGTCATTTGGCCTCACTTTCGCAGAGGCCTCAATGGGGCAGCGCAGCCACACATTTGAGCCGCCTCACGCCCGCGATCCTTCCGAGGAATGGACATCTCGGTATTTCCTTTGGTAGGTACTTGACTCAGTGCTCCCAGACGCTGCTGCATTCGCAAAATCAGGAGAAAGAAAGTTCAGGCGCGGACTCCCATTCCTGCTTGCCTGCTACGCCTAGTTGGGTTCCAGCACTCTGTTCATTGGCTTTCAATTGTGTTGTACTTGACCCTTACTCCTGCAATAGTATGTATAAGCTTCGACGAATACCAAGACTTCTCACACCGACTTGATTCTTTTCTCCCGAAGCCAATTACTCGTCTCTCAGGAGGATTGCAGGAGACCAAGTCACACTGGAATCAAGTAAATCGTGTCACCAAGAGAAACAGCACCGTAGCAGGATTTCAAGTGAAAATGATTGCAGAAGAGAAAGAGGGCATTGTGGGAGACAGAGAAGACTTCGTGGCTCCTCTCTACTGTCTTGTCCCAGGCCCGTTTCTGAGCTCGTCTATGGTATCTTGATATCGAACAAACGCTCACTCTTTTGCTGTACCCTGTTGAATGCCTGTTCGCAAACCAGAAGAGTGTTCCGCTAGAACCCCAATCAATGAGGGGGGTGTGCCGGCGAGATGAAATCACCAGCCAATGCCAAATTAACCCAAAGGTAGATGCTCACCGCTACCTTAACGCCGCCAATATGCAATGAGAAAAGGTGGGGGCGTCTCAGCGTCTCTCATCAACTCCGCCGAGGGGATTGTTGCTTCATCTGTACCCTCCGTACATTCATAAATGTTGATTTCGTCTCAAAGGTTTCCGTCTTGGGATTCCAGAATCCCCAGACGTCGATCAATACGAAGCCCTTGGGTAATTCGCATTCGACGAAGCCTGAAACGAGGATGCAGCCGCGCGGAGGAGACGGTCGTGTAGGCTTCCAGGACTGCGCAAGTTTCCTTCTGAATTCTCTTGCAGGGCCGTCTGTTATTTGCTTCATCCCCTCTATATGGGATATGGCAGTGTCCCTGACAAAGTTTGTTTTGCCGCCGCTCTCTGGCTCGTCTGCCTGTGACGAATCCGTTGTCTTGCTGACATTGTGAGAGGCATTCTCTGCCGGCGTGCCATCAGGGGTCTGTCTGTTGGCAGACGGAAGAGGCCCCTGAGTCTTTTGTTGCATGCTGCCACCGCTGACTGATGGAAACGGTTGAACAGGCTTGCTTGACTCGAAGCCAAGGGCTCGGGAAATATCCATGTAGTGTTGTTTTAATAGCGCACTCGTAAAAGCCCACGAAGACACGGCAATTGCATCTGGCCAAAGTATCTTTTGCAGGCGTTTAACGGTCAACGAGTCAACGGGCTGAGTTGACCAGTACAACCCATCGCCTTGCAGCAGTAATCTAGAGCGTATTGTTAGTGGCTACCTGGTCGCAAGTCATGGAATGGTTTGAGTTTGCCTACCCAGAAGAGTAGAACACTGGGGGTGGACGGTATGGAAAGTCGATGTCCAGCCAATATCTACGAAGCCTTACTGAGTTGCCACATCTGGCTGTGATTACCGGGTGCCTCTCAACCGAGGACTTTACCCAGTTGGCAAGGTCGGCTAGTGACAGCGATCAGTCGGGAAAACACTTGCAGCCAACCCACAGAGTAGGCACTTACCGCGGATTTGAGTCTGCGTCCCCTTTTGTTTGCTGAGTTTGACGAACTCTTGCCACTCGGGATCGCTGCCCTTGTATGGCGGTTGATTGACAGATTTCGTCGTAAAGGGGAATGGAATGAACCACGGCTCGGCATCCTCCTCTGCTATTTCTTCGTCAAGCGCCTTCTTCTCCGCCGGTGATAGCTTCTCGTATTCGCGATCTACATGTCGAAAGAATGGATTTAAAACGGTGGACCAGTAAATGTGCCAACACGCGAGCGAAATGCCTGCTCCGATGAGGAACGTTCTAGGCGCAAGGTTAGAGAAAGGCACGCTTGACACAGTTTGTGTAATGTGGACATACCCGGCCCTGAATCTAGGTTTTGAAAGTTTCACCCTCTGTACGATAACAGTCTGTTGGCTGGGAACTTGTGGTGCAACTGCGCGAACAGCCAGGGTGCTCGCATTCGATATGCCAGCGCGAGGTCGGAATACCCGCCACATCACTGCAGAGGGGGCTCGCCGAGCGCCGGCTGCCGAGGACGGGAGGGGACGAGTGGTTTTCGGTAAGGGATTGATGGCGTCGATAGTGATGCTTTAGCTTCGTCGCGATTCTTTCGATGGTGGATGTATATGGATGGAGGATGGCAACGACGGCGGCGGCGGCGGCGGCAGCGGGATGGATGGCGAAGAGAGGCGAACCATGGAAGCCGGGAAAGTCGCGGTCGATGAAAGAAGAATCGGGACGCAATACAATGAAGTAAAGCTAATCTGGTGTCTGACAGCGCCCTCCTGGCGGCTTGGGCGACTGCTTTGATGTGCGATGTATGACAACGTTGGCATAGAGGCTGCTACTGGTTCTCTTTCGCATCAAACCAACGGGAGGTTCTAGATGCGTGTGAATGCGTTGCTATCGGCACACAGTGTGACGAGAGCCCCTCCGATAACGTCCCGCCACTCTGTTCTGCCCTTGATGCATGAACCGTTGACTGTTGGCGGCGAGGGATGTGGCAGCTTCAAAAGGGCCTGGAGCTTACGGAGTACCTGAGGGAAGTCCCAGCTCTCCCGGCAGGTAAGTACAGTGCCAGCCAAGAACTCCAAGCACGGATCATTTGGGAATGTCCACCACCCAACCAACCTCAAGGGACCTTCCTCCAGGTTCACAGTGGAGCTATCGATTACCTAAGCGTCTCGTTCCCAGTGAAGAAGCCGGAAGAATATCTCTGCCGACATCCGCTATTGGGACACGGGGGTAGGATGGGCTTAGCCTGGAACGTGTGCCAGTAGCAACAGCGTACAGGCGCAGCACTGTGAGCTCGACATCCTCGACGCACGCCGCAGCTTGGAGAGAGAGCAGCAAGCAGCAAACAGCCGCATCCACATCCTCCTCCTCTCCACGACATCATCACCGAATCCCCATCAACGAGTTCCAACAACATCAGACGACACCATGAAGCTCTCCGTAGGGCTTGCGGCTGCCCTGACCGGCGTCGCGACCGCGCTCTCTTCGGACCAGCCCGCTGACGTATATCTCCTGCAATCGAAGCAGCCTTCGAGCTCCGATATCCCATCATTACCACGACAGATTGCCCGCCTTATCCTCCTTCAACGCCTGTCACCCGAGGGTCAACATGCCTCCTGGGATCTTCCCGAGTCTATCTCCAACGAGAAGGCTGTTAGCTACTTGAACGAGTTCGGCAAGGCCCCTCAGGCCCTCTTCAACAATGCCGCCTCCACAAACCCGTCTCAGCTCGTCGTCATGCTCGAGGGCATCACTGCCGACGATGCCAAGACACTCCAGAAGTCTCTTGCTACCTCTGGACCTGCCTTCAGAGTTGGAGATGCTCCTTCCATCACGGCCAATGATATGCTGCTGGCCAACGACTTGCCGTCGGTTGGCGTCACCGCAAAGAACTGTGCTTTCGATAAGGCCATCAACCCCTTTGCCGAACAATGTTGGAGTGGCAAGTCATCTGTCGTGAGATATGATACCAAGAAGGTGAGCATCGAATCCTCTCACAGGCCTTGCATGCCTTGTAAAGAAGCTAACCCTCTCCTTCCACAGGACTCGTCAATCCTCGTGTCCCTCACCGAAAACGCCACCCTTCTGAAGCGGCTTGCTGCCAATGGCGAGATGGAAACCGTCATCATAGCGATGCCCGAGTCATCTCGCAACTCCAAGTTGCGTCATTGGACCTCCAAGCCCGAGGAGCTTCGTCGCCGCCAAGCCGAGGAAGTTATGACTATGACCGAAACCGACGACCACGATCCGCCCGCGCCCACCACCCCAGTCCAGAGCACGGCGCCATTTGTTGGAAACGCCGAGAGAGGCACTATTCCTTCTTGCTTTGGCTCGCAGGATGCCTGTGTCAAGGCCACTGGTAACTGTTCGGGCCACGGCGAATGCTTGAACAAGTACGCCAAAGCGGATGGCCAGTCCGCCGGGAAAGAATGCTTCTCCTGCATGTGCCTCGGAACTAAGAACGAGACAACTGGCAGTGTCACTCACTGGGGCGGCAGGACTTGCAGCAAGATTGACGTCAGCGTTCCCTTCTGGCTGTTCGTCGGTTTCGGTATTGCCATGGTCGGTACCCTGACCTTTGCTATTGGTCTGCTCTTCAGCGTTGGCGAGGAGAAGCTCCCTGGTGTCATTGGCGCCGGCGTCTCCAAGACCAAATAAGAAACGTCGTTGGATGGTCGGCATGGAACAACAGGGGTGAATGGGTCTTGACGTCGATCAAGGCAGGGTGATTGTGCTTATAGTTGGCAAGTGGTAGTCTGTACCATAGGTGTATTCTCATGCGGCGTTGGCATTGGCAGGACATTTCTCTCTTTATACGGAGAGGTTATTTCTTAGACAATCGAAAAGAATTGAAGCTATGATAACATGATTTCTCTTCTCCAGTTTGGGTATCGCAATATGAGGTACTGTCGGTCCCGACTACAATAGCTATTCGACGTCTCCTACGTCTGGACGATTATTCGGAGTTGTTCCTAAGCTCTCGAGGCCTCTTTCAACCCTCAGCTCACTAGCTCCAGCATTCGTAATCTGTCTAGCTGGCGATTGCGTAGCCGACTCGACCGATGCTCCGTTGCCCACAGCGGCAGTATACTTTTGCCCAGCTTCGTTGAGCAGCTGCTGCACCTCATCCTTCCTGACCATGATGCCATCCTTCTCCTGTGTCAGCTCATCCACCCGCCGCTTCTTCTCCGCAAGCTCGAGCTCCATGGCGCGCATCGTAGCCTGTAACCTTGAAAGGCAATCTGTCAGGCTCGGCAACGGGGTGATCTTTGGCGGGACCTGCAGGAGCTGCTCGGCGGGATTGCGCTCGGGCTTCTCTAAACCGTCCATTCCCGACCTCGTCTGTGCCGCCTCGAAAGCTGCGCGTCGTTCCGCCTCCGAAGCGTCGGACTCATCACCCGAGTCGCCTTCGGCCATCTTGATCTGCTCAGCCATCTCGCGCCTGCGGCGTTGCTTCTCCTCCCTTTCGGCCCTCTTGCCCAGCGACAAGCCTCCGTCCTCGACAAAGTCATCGAAGCCCTCACCTAGATCTTCATCCTCAGCGACGAGACGAGTTTCGGCTTTCTTCTTCCGCAGAGAGATCCCGCCGTCCTCGTTGTCGTCGAAAGAGATGAAGTCTCCGTCTTGCTCATGCGCTAGCCGAGCCCGGCGCTGCTTTCTCTCCTGGATCTCGGCTTCGGTGAGAATGTTTGTTTGTGCCGGCCGAGATGCAAACTCATCCTGGTTGACTATCAACGCGCCCTCCAGCTCGGAGGAGTCCAGATCCATCCCGTCTTCGTCTTCCATGCGCATGGACGTTAGGTTTTGCGGCGTGTTTGGTGTCTCGTTTTGCAGTTCGCTGAGGTATTCTTTGCTGTACTTTGGACGGTCTTCGTCATCGTCGCGGAATGATCGCATGGGCAATCGGTTCTTGAGAGCGCTGTTCTCGAGTGCCTGGTGACCCAGAGTCGACTTCTTGGGGGTCGTGTATCCCGGCTTTGCTCCCTCGTCGCCATCACCTCCAGCAACACCAAATGACAACCTTGAAGAGGACTGGCGCTTCTTTTGCTTCAGTGAGCTTGAACGGCTCACTGAGGGACGAATCACTACGGGCCCATCCTCATCCTCATCGTCCTGTGTAGCAATTTTGGGTTTGGGTTTCGTGGTTGCGCCGATCGCGACGCCGCCGTTTGAGTCGTCGGTCTCGTTAAAATTGATGCTCTTGCGCAAACCAGATTGTCGAAAAGGCTTTCTTGTGAATTTTACTGCTACCGGTTCACCCTCTATAGACCCATTAGCCTTGCGAACGATATCAGCGCAAGGTCTCTGAAAGGGATCTGCAGACTCACCATCCTTTACTGGCTCTTGACCAGTTGGCGACACTTTTCCCGCGTCATCTTCGTCGTCATCGAGGACCTTGACTACTTTCGCTTTTCGTTTTGGTGTAAATGCACTCATTTTGTGTAATATGAGGTTGCGAGTGTAACTTTTGTTAGGTGTGATGTCAGTCAGGCAGCTTCGCGACATCTCAAAAAGGTGTTGGCGATAACGCGCCGATAAGACGATTATCTCCACGTGACTCCACCCAATTTTCCAGATAACGGTAGGTGGCAGAGAGATCCCCTCGGTCAGGCTGCAGAGAGCTCCGTCGCGTCGCAAAGCTCACCTCGCGCGACATCATCAAATCGGCACCCACCCATTGCACTACTCCTCGGCACTCCTACACCCACACACAAAAACAGTTAAGATGGCGCCCGCACAGCCCGAGCTGAAGAAGGTACGGAAGCCCCGGTTTCTCACGGACATACCAGAGTCTCCAGACTTGTTCGATGTACTGCCAGATAACGGAAGCCATGCAAGCTGCTTGGCCATCCCTCATTGTCCCATCCAATGCTGTTCGAGATTTTAGGAAGCTAACACGTCTTGTCACAGTACCTCGACAAGAGACTGTTTGTGCAGCTCAACGGCAGCCGCAAGGTTATCGGTGTCCTCCGCGGTTACGATGTACGCAATCCCCTGACGACCTGCTTGGATGCGAACCCTGCTGACATATGCCAAAGGTTTTCCTGAACATTGTGCTGGACGAGGCTGTCGAGGAGAAGGAGGGCGGCGAGAAGGTTCGGATAGGCATGGTGGTATGCTGCAAAAGACACCCTTTCCAACCTTGTGATATAAAACACTAACAGCAACAGGTCATCCGCGGCAACTCCGTTGTCATGCTGGAGGCTCTCGAGAGAATCGGCGGCGACGATCGCAACCACCAGCGGTAAACGGAGCATCTTTGTCTGGTGGTCGACTTCCGCGGAAATGCAGTACAGGTTTTACAAGTTGGCGTTATGATGGCAAAATATGATTTTTGGTTTCAGTGACAAGGATGGGGATGAAATATGCTAGATACCAGCACAACGATGTCACATTCAAACGGTCCAGAAGTACGACTGCGTAGCCTGCAATCATAGGCCGGGACGGAGCGAGGCATCTTTACTTGTCGAGACTGGCCCAGGCCTTCTCGTCATACCAGTCCATCATGCTGCCGCCGTACCTACGAACCCAGCTCTTGATGCCACCTTTAAGGATGACGGCCTGCACGGCAGTTTCGCCAAGCTCGTCGAAATAGTCCTGTAGCCAATTCGCTGACCGAGGGCCACGACCATTGCTGCTTCCTGGGTGGCTTCAGCAGGGGGGGTTAAGCCAAAAGTAAAGGGAGGATCTAGACAGTGATAAGAGGCAGATGGCGGAACTCACCGCAGTAGAATATAACACGCTTGATACCAGCTTGCTTGCACAGCTGATGAATGATTGGTCTTGTCTGATAGAGGGACTGGGCGGGAAAGTTGATGGACGTTGAGATGGTGCCGCCTTCAAAGTCGTTTCGGCGCACATCAACGAGCAGAAAGTCTCGAGGTTTGTTGTTGCCAGCCGCAGCCTGAGCCTCAAGCAACCTCATCATCTCGTCTGCCTCGATTTCCGGTGACTTGGCCTTGGGAGCGGGAAAGGCCGCCCACCATTGCGGGGACTCTGATGCTGCGGCTTCTGCCATTGCGTGCTTCTTGTTGGCTACGGGACTCGGCTCTGGTGTAACCCCAGGCTCTCACTCTCTCTACCCAATGCGATGAGATGCCAGCCTGTTGTTCCTGACGCTACGTGGTGATGTGTGACCAGTTTGCGGATAGAGGTTGTGCGCACGGCAGATGCGATGGTGCGGGCGTTGAATTGCGGGCGCAACTTACCCCGGATTTTGCAATGAGATCTCTACCTAGATGGTCATGACCGATTTGATGGGAAGACAGTGGGGGATTAACGGATTTGGGCAGTTGAGAAGAGAGTTGTAGAGCCGCGGAAGCGAGCCAAGCGGTGCGTTCAATATCCAAAACTCTCGGCACTCTGCGATTGTGGAGATTTCCGCTCGAAATCCTCTGTCATTCCGGGGTGTTTATTGGCTGTCCATGATGCCATTACGCCAAAGGATGGTTTCTGCAACTTGAACCCTTGCGCCCGTCACACTCTAAAGGTATTCCCCCATCAAGAGCCATGGTGCCTCCCGAAACTCTCGGATTGCCAAGGAGAGTTCTGCTCAACTTCATTCAACTACAAACTATCACGACTTTTGATCACAAGTTGTTGGTTTCTTCTTTTCTTCCTCTCTCACGTTCTGATTCTCTCAATAACACCGCCCAGCCACCTTGCTTCCCGCCCACATGCCGAGACTAAAACCAATGCATCTCTTATCTTTTCCCGTGGGATTCGGATCGGCTATCTCAACCAATTAGTGGGGAGCTCGGCACTCTTGTCCACCTCAACCTTGAATTCCCCCGAAGTTGCGTTGCTGCGGTATTTGTCCTTATCTCAACTCGCTTCAAGCTTCCCTTAGGGGTCTCTACTCTCTTTCCTTCTGTCTTCCCCTCAAAGTTACGTTCCATTATTGATTCGAGGTTCCCAGGTTTCCGGCTGGCAAAGAGAGAAACTTTCCCACTGAAATCCACACTACCTCCAGCAATCTACAAAGTATTCCATGATTGTAAATCAACCTTGAGAGCACCCCGTTACCGGAGCCGGGCCGGTCAACTCAGGCATACGAACCCGAGATGCCACAAAGTTGTGGTCTCCTCTATTAAGCCTTTCTATCAACGGATATATCTTATCTATCATTGGAGATATCGCAGCCTCATCCAACTTGCTTATGTCAGAGAAAAGGAATGTGCCAAGCGGCGCAAGGCAGTTTCTTCAAGGTTCTTCCTATGGAATGGTCGTAAACCGTCCGGTTCAGTTACACAACTTGATCTCGGGCGAGCTTACGCTATCTTGACAGAATGCATTGCTCGCGGTTTCGGATGTAAGACTGCACAACCATCACCATAAGGTACATCGGACAATAGAAGCTATCTCTTCGGAGTATCGGAGTACGGAGCAGATGACTTCAATCTATGACTCTTCCGGAGTGAACCGGCAAACTGCAAGTCTATACCAACATCCCTGACATCCATGTCCTATCTCATGATCCCCATCTGCCATGTTCATCCCAAGGGCGCGAAGAGACGAACCAGGGCGCCAACGACATGGCTACGGCAGATGAACAAGTTGATAGGTCCCCGGTCTCGGTAACCTTGAACCTCCACACAATCCTTCACGCCCTCTCCTCTTCCCCCACCGCGGCCTCCGGAGGCTAAGACTCCAAGAGAACGGGGCCGTTGTATACGGCATGGGTTTGTTTGCCCCGCCAAACAGCTTGAAATTCGGCCGCTATGACTGCTCGTCCCTATCTTCCCGCCTGCGCCGCAACGCCTCCACTGATAACGTCCAACATCCAATGACTCGGATCCTCCAGACAGACGACACTCGCCCATGTGCGACGTCAGTTTGCATGGCAACCACATGGTGAGCCATGGAGGTGCCCTTTGATTGACGTTTCTCACCTGCTTCTTCTGGTATAGTCAATGCATTTGGCATGGGAAGAAGAGAAAAAGGCGCGGGAAAGTCTCCGATGGAGCCCTGGCTTGCCGAATATTGTTCCAATACCAGCTACCCTTGAAGTTGTATCTGCCGTCGTCCAAGTGCTACTTGGAGTGTAAGCGGTCCGACACCGCCAAGTCCTAACCGGCTGTCATCCGATGACCAATATTGTATTGTTCATGGATTGGGCACCGATGGTACGGTTCATACTGTGGTCGTGGGCCGCGTTCTCGAGGCTACACCGAGCTCGATATCGATTTGACGACAGCCCGGGTAGTGACCGGCGTCTTACCCGCTACCGGCGTACTATCATCGACATCTGTGCCTGACTATAAAGAGGTGCGGGCGCATCTTCGACAAGGAGAGGAGGGATTCCAGAGACTCATCCTCACGCCAAGCTTACCCCGGATTCTTTCTGATCGGCCTTCTCCATTTACAATGGCTCGGTGGTTCCTTTCTGTCGTTGCCGGAAGCGCCCTTGCGGCGGCTTCTGGCCTTCCCATGAAGCTCGAGACACGGAGCGCAGTCACATCCCGTGTGTCCAACATTCACATCACTCTCGAGGAGCCCATCGAGGAGACCGTCACATTTACCTATGGTTCATGTCGAGGTGCCTCTATGGGGGATGCTCACCACACCATCGTCAAGTCAGAGGTGCGCGACTCTCAGCGCCTCGTCTGGGTTCTCCCCGAGGATGCTGCCACTGATGGATGTATCTCCGCGTGGGGTGTTTCTGGCGAGTTGAAGGGAAGAAGTGAGCCGCAGACTCTTCACCACAAGTGGAAGCGCCGGGCTCTGAAGAGATGTAAGTGCGCTCACGATACTGCTGTATTGTCTCATAATCTAATGCGCCATAGCTATTGAGATGAACAACGGCACCGGCATTGACACGCTCGGAGCCTGGTTTGAGGGTGTCAACCTCCTTAAGGACAAGGAGCCTACCACAGTGGATGTCGACGCTGCCAAATCTAAGCACGTCGCCATCGTCGGCGCCGGTATGGCTGGCCTGATGAGCTACCTCGTCCTCTCACAAGCCGGCATGACCAACATCAGCATCATTGAGGCCGGCCAGCGTCTGGGAGGCCGTGTTCACACAGAGTATCTCAGCGGTGGTCCCTTCGACTACTCCTACCAGGAGATGGGCCCCATGCGCTTCCCCGAGCATTACGTCGACCCCAAGACCAACACCACCTACAACATCACCGATCACCAGCTCGTCTTCCAGCTCGCCGCGGAGATGAATGAGCTTAACAAGCACGACAAGAACCTCAGCGTCGACTTCATCCCCTGGATCCAGAGCAATCAGAACGGTCTCTCCTACAAGAACGGTATCAAGCTTCCCAACGGTCTGCCCCCTACTCTGGCTCAGATCGCCGCCAACTCTTCTCTGGCTGTCGCCACTGTCTACGATGAGTCCACCAACGCCCTCAACGAGAAGGTCGACGAGTATCTTCCTGGTAGTGACTTCTCTGTCCGTATGGCCCAAAATATGTTCAAGGCCCACCGCGAATTCCTCGACTCTGGTCTCCAGGGTCTTGGTGGCGATGTCTGGTCCGAGTATGCCTTCATGGTCAACTACCTGAAGGGCTCCCTCAACTCGACGGATGCCCTGGGCAGCTACACCGCCACCTCATTCTGGGACACTCTCTACGAGGGCATGTACTTCCAGGCTGCTTCCTACAAGACCATCGACGGCGGTCTTAGCCGTCTTCCGTTGGCTTTCCACCCCCTCGTTGACGACATCACGACCATGGACCGCAAGATCGAGCGCGTGCAGTTCGACTCGGAGAACTCAAAGGTCAACCTCCAATGGCGTGAGTCCTTCAAGAACCAGACCTTTGAGACCTCTGAATACGACTACGCCCTGCTGGCTGTCCCCTTCTCCATCATCCGCAAGTGGCGCCTCCCTTCCCTGCCTTTGACCATCTCCAATGCCATCAAGGAGCTCCCCTACACGAGCGCCTGCAAGGTCGCCCTCGAGTTCTCTGAGCGCTTCTGGGAGCACTACGAAAACCCCATTGTCGGCGGTTGCAGCACCACCTCTGACATCGCCGGTATCGGTTCCACGTGCTACCCCTCGTACAACATCAACGGCACCGGCAAGGCCACCATGTTGGCCTCGTACATCTCGGGCGACTGGGGCCACCGCTGGGCTTCCGTCTCGGAGGAGGAGCACGTCCAGTACGTTCTCGACGCCATGGTTGAGATCCACGGCGAGAGTACCCGCGAGCTGTACACGGGCAAGTACAACCGCCGCTGCTGGGTCCTAGACCCTCTCGAGAGCGGCAGCTGGGTCAGCCCTGTTGCTGGCCAGCATCAGCTTTACATCCCCGAGTACTTCAAGACGTACGACAACGTAAGTTACCACCTGCTCTTGACTAGATTACTGAGAAATTTCGAGATTTCTAATATTGAAATCAGATGATCTTCATTGGCGAGCACACCTCCTACACCCACGCCTGGATCGCCTCTGCTCTCGACTCTGGAATCCGTGGTTCCGTCCAGCTGCTTCTTGAGCTTGGTCTTGTTGACGAGGCTAAGGCTGCCGTCAACAAGTGGATGGCTAGATGGATCGATATCGTAAGCTCAAGTTCTCAACCACATGGTGATGCGGTGTTCCTGACAACATTTTCTAGTGATCGACAATAATGATAATAACGATTGTGGGAATCCAAGAGTGAAGGTTCAGGGAGAGTCGACTTGTGGCCGAGAGATGGCGATACATAATCCTACATAGTATGACGATTAACGAACAATAGATCAATGACATCTCATCCAACATTGCCTCTTAGAACCGCCATCTTCACGCGCCTTAGCAGAGTGTCTACATCTGACTGCAGGCGTCTCTAGGAATAAGACCACCAACGATGCACATTCGCAAGGATCCCCACAACATAAGAGACGACAACCCACATGGCCACACCCGCTTAGCCTCCCTGTCGGATCCTGCATGCAGCCGAACGTATTAAAGTAGATTTTGGGCTCAGCCTTGCAGATATGGTCATCGTCCGATGCCGCGTCGCACGGTTGGTTGGGGCAGGGGTTCGGCCAGACCCGGGATACGATGGTTCGGCATCTGCTGACAACGCCGCACTCGTACAGCGCCAGACTGATCCTTGGGCAAAGTTTTCAAGTTGCACTAGCAGTAGCCGCTTTGCCATCTAGCGCTTCTATGCGGGATCTTTTCCGCAGTCCACTGTCCCAAGTAGTCGAAACACCTCTCGTATAGGTATCGTAGTGGTCATCTCTTCATGAGCCATACTGCATGTCTACATGTGAATGTCATCTGGTCCGGTCAAAATCTGCTGTTTAAGTTAGCTCGGCGATTTATCCGAGCAGCTCGTTCTTTTCTTCCTGGAGTCTGCGCTCGCTAGTCTCG